CATACTGGCGATGCCAAAAGAAGTCACGACTTACCGTGAGGTAAGTCTTTTCTCTACCGCAATTGCCCACTCGTTAGGGCATCACGACACTCATGAATGATGCACAATTGCAAATCATCCTGATTGGAAACGACGTAACGAGTTGTGTCACGGTTACCGGCTATTTAGCGCAGCAGTCCATACCGAACCTAATCCCGTTCGGTTGAAGAGCGGAATTGAGACGTCAAGCTTTTCAAAGATTGACTGCATGGATTAGATACATCTCATAAGAGACTCATCTTCTGCGTATGCTTTCTGCACGTCGTCGAGCATATTCGACAACTGAACACTCACTGTTAGTGCTGCTACAAACGGATCTTCCCTACTGTGGGGGTGAGCAGTTGGCCCAAATTCGGACCGATGCGAAAGAGCATCAGCGACAACATTAAGCGTCCCGGTTTATAATCGACGGAGAAGTTGTACTCCGCGATTAAAGACAGCCACCTTGCAATTTGTTGCGAGATGTGTGGACTGTTTACGGCCGTGCGTAATGACGCATGGTCGATATAAACGATGAAGGGCCTATCTCCTTAGAGACATACCTGAAACTTAGCCAGTGCACATTGCATGACAAGGAGCTCCTTGTCATGCATTGGGTAGTTACGCTCAGCTTCTTGCAGCTGACGCGGTTGATAACAGACGAAGCAGTTAACGCCGTCTGAGTCGTGATGCATCAACGCGCAGCCGATTGCAAATCGCTGGCGTCACAGACCACGTGGAATGGTCTGTGTCGTGGGCTGCAATAGCCGACACAGGCGATTGTATCAAAATATTCTTGATACCTTTGAAGGAGTGCTGACACTCAGCACTACATGACCATCTCTCGCTTTTCTCAAACAAACACGAGATGTAGGGTCATCTCGGCGTATTTACGCTAGTTCTGGTGCGATTACGCCGCTAAGCCAAGGAACCTTTGAAGTCCTATGACGTTGACTGGCACAGGCCAGTCGCTAATCGCCTTGATCTTTTCCGGATCAGGGCGTACACCGTTCTTACCCACGATGCAGCCAAGAAGTGGTATTTCGTTCGTTGCGAGTATACATCTCTTGAGGTTCGCGAACAACTTATGTTCTCGCATAAGTATAAGAACTATGGAGGAGTGGCGATCGCTCATTTTTTTATGAGACAATCCCGACTCTCCACTGGCGCCCGGACGACCGACTAACGGAGGGGGTACCCCGATTTCGTGTTCTGTATGTTCTTGCTCACCTTGTGTACCCGTCGGTGGGGCGGGTTGCGCTCTTCTTGTTGGACTTGAGCTGAAGCTGAACTTGACCGTCTCAGGGATAGGTGTTGATCGGGTGTAAAATACTATAACCGTTCAACGTAGGTGTGGATCGCGTATAAATTCTTCACTTGATCGCTTTTAACTTGGGCGCTCTCCCAGAGTCGCCTTTGCCAGGGTTGATGCTTGATACGCGAGCCTTCTGACCATTTGAGCCGTCTCGCGATCTCGAATCTGAACCGCAAGTTTCACTGCGTCCTATCGCGGTCGAGGGGGGGGGGGTGAGAAGTGACCCTCCGCCTGGCCAAACAATCCAAGGGCGAAGTTCACTTGAGATGTGGGTGACTCTCTATTCAACGGAAGGTCAAAGATCCTGCCCGGTAGAAGCCGACGCATGTCTTTCGTTGCGAATTTAATTCTGTTTAATGTCAACTAACCAAACCCAAATCTTATGACTTTGCCTGTCTGTTCGCTAGGTCGACTGTCTATGTCATTCACCTTTTAAATCCTGTGGTCCACAGCAGATTATCCATTGTGGATCGCCCCATACCGGATCGCAGAGTACCGGATCGCAGAGTACCAAAACGCGGAGTTTTGGATTGCGGTATGCGATCCACGGTGAGTACGTAGTCTGCCTCGATCATCATGAAACACTCCGCTTGACCTTTACCCCTTCTTGACCGTTAATTGGGTTGCTCTGCATAATTTACACATTCACTTTCTGTCACTCAGCCGTGTGACACCATCATCCGTGCCAACGGGCCCATCTCCGTACGCGCTCTACCAATCAAACTGATTTTCTTACTGAAGGCGGATCGCGCGATCCCCACTTCCGTCATTCTTCCTTTGCAATTCTCCACAGAACCTTCCGGACGTGAATTCTATGAACATCCACGTCCGTCTTTCCATACATAGCTTGGTTATGAACGAAGACAACGTCAAAGTAACTCGGTGCGAAATCGCGCACCGATCGCAACAGATTCGTAACAAACCCTTTGAACGTTGCGGGGGCTTTACTTATCCCCTGTGGCATCAGTAGACACTCCTAAAGCATACCGCTGGTAGTGCTCACTGCTGTGTATGGGATGGCCCTTTTACGCATGAGGATCTGATAGAATCCATTCATCAGATCCATGGACGAAAAGATGGTACTTTTTGCCATACCATCTATGATGAAGTCCTTCCTCGTTATCGTTATTTAAAGCCGGTTATGTTGCAGCGTTCAATTTGTTGAACGCGTGCACTATCCGCCACCCTCCTGTGGACTTTCGCACACAGAAGGTAGGATAGATGTGTGGGGATATTGATTCTCTCACATGACCAGCCGCAAAGCGACCGGCAAAGAATTTGTCGATCGCTGTGACCTATTCACGAGGCAGTGGTCACTGCTTCATGACAAAGTACTTCGAACCGGGTTTCAGTTCGATCTCATGCCGAGTGCCTTGGACTTTAGGCAACTCACATGGCACGGATTCAGGGAAAAGATTCTTGAATACGAACAAATCCTCATACAAATGATTTGTCGTTGAAGACTCCCAAGATTGAGACGTGTATCGCTCAATCTTGGTCTTCTCATCGAGGACACTCTCGTCCATTGATGAGCTACTAAAAACCCTTTCGCTCTCAATAAACACTTGTTCCGCCGAATATTGGCGACGTACTCGTCCTTTGTGACGAGTACGCAGATCTGATTGATCTTGTCATTACGCAGATATCGCAAGAATCTTTTAAATTCTAGCGTTGGCATCTTAATTACCTCCGAAGCTGACTTCGGAGATGTAACCAGATTAAGTGTATAAGCGCCTACACTTGATCCTTCATTTACCAAGACATTCACTGTTTCGTTTCTTTCTTAAAATATCAAACAGATCCTCAGGTGGTTGGAGAAACGCACCCTGAACATAACTCTCTAAGGAGTTATCACTCACGGGAACGCTAAAACCTTCTTCCAATAGGTGTTCTGACTGTGGGTGCACTATTACAGTCATGTCCTCTTCGATTGAATCTCTTATAGTCAATCGTATTTGATCTACGATAGACTCTCTGCTATTCGATCTTGCTGTAACCTGTTGTTCAATTGACAACAATCATCTCTCTTCTTGGATGCACCCTTCTTAATGTGCATCCACGTCCAATTTCACTCGATGTTTTCGAGTGGTGAACCTTCGGCGCAGCCTCTGTCTCTACACGGGTACCTGGAGCTGGTTTTGCAGTGTAGTGGCCTCCTACACTAAGATATTACGCAGTCATACTAACGACCGTTACCACAAGCGAGGCCATCACACTTACTCGTAGTGCATCCACACGCTTGTAGAAGCTCCAAGACGTTCATCAGATGGAAATCTGATGAGCAAAGGACAGACATCTTCACGGATCGATGCTGTCAGCTGGTCCATGGATCGTATCTTCTAAGTCATGGCAGACCGAGGATGACATCAAATTTATCATCCAGATCCAGTATGATAAAGTCGTCATCGTACTGCTTTACTTCTAGCGTGTAGTGTATTCCAACTACAATTATATTCACTTTTACGGATACGCCTGTTATAAGGCACACCGTCATCCTCGTTGTAGGGATATCTCGCTCAACATCGTTGAGCCTACTATATTCTAGCGACTGGCGTCGAATAAAACTGTTCGACGCTCCACAGTCAACTAGAGTGCGAAGTGACATTCCACTTGTCACTTCGATCTTCACAGCGATGAGGGACACCTCATCACTAGAGCCAGTAACACACACTGACTGTGTGCTGGAGCAATCTTCATCAAGAGCCCTGCAAATGCTCTTGACGTATCTGGATCAGCAAGGTGCTCCGACCCTACTGACCCTGACCGTTTTTTTGCGGTCCGACTGCTGTCGTGGTTTATCGACATGGTCGGACCCACGCCTTGGACCTTTCCTTGGCCAACAGGTGTCATCACGTCCTGTCTTTAAAGTTAGGCGGTACCAGAGACACTACACTCATAAGCGTATTGTCCTATCTTCTACAAGCGATGAAACCTTTCCGATCGCTTGTGGTACGGAGAGCGATAGTTCTCGCTCTCGACATAACAAAGGTCTATTGGTTCGGGACCTTCAGTTTTCTGTCGTCTTGTCTGACGATAGTTTGATTTATTCGTTAGTCATTGCAACAGGAGAAACATCGCTGAAAACGTGGACTGTACAATAAATGAAGCGGGGTGTTTCACATGCCATTTAATTCAGGGCAACGCTACAACTTTATCAACTTTTGTAAGGATGTCGAAGGTTTGCAGGTGGCTGAAAAGCGAAAGGCGACCGCCCTGAGTGGATTTCGAAGCTGCAAGACTATCTGTTACGGAATGACAAGCTGGCGTAAATTGCGCGCTAAGCGGGCATGTTCAACGCTGAGTGGGCGCTTAAATGGTCAATCAAGTTGTTAAACGTTCTGAGGAGTTTGCATTCTATCGACGAATCCGTCGGCATCGCGAGTGAGTCGACAATCGCGATAAAGCTCGAGTTGTACACGTTTCCTCGTTTTTGAATTCTTATTCGACGTCTTGAACATCAGCGAGAAAGGTTGCTCCCCAGATCATTTTAGGGAGAGAATCTTAATTACCGTACTCGATTATTCGTGTCTATAGCACAGGACAGGGGAGAGGGTAGCGGAACGTACTGCCGTGACCAACAATTTCGACAGGTCTCGATGCTCCAAGATACGATCGACGATCCAGCGTCATTTTTCGTCGCTGTAAATTATGGGGGCGTCGCGCCAAAATGGTACCTAAGGCGACACAGGACGCAAGGGTGGAGCCTGTTGTGCGTGTCGCTGCAGTAGAGTGGTTACTCACGTTGGACCAGCGCATGTACTACGTGATCACAACGTGGATCAGCTGCGAGATGCAGGTAGGGGCACGAGAGGGGTCGGCGAGTGCGACGGTGGTCACTAGCAGACTAGCACAGCGTCTCAAATCAAACTTTTCTGGCCCGCTTGTATAAGTGGGTACGCAACGAGATTCGATTATGCGTATGTCTTTCAGCTAGTAAATCCATCCCCGTCATCGCAGAATCCACTTTAACCGTTTCTTATTCCAAAAGAGACTTGGCGTTCAGTTTTGATAGACTTCATCTTTGGGCTCGCGTCCGATAGTCAATATGTAGCGGGTGCAACATTTTGTGGACGGATTCAGCAGTATTACACACCTGGTGCCGGTTCACGCAACAATCAGCGCGGCATATACCACGGTGCACCTCATTGACGCTATTTTTTTGCTATCAATTCTTCCAGGAAAATAATGTTCGGACCGTGATCCTGGGTTCACATCCGCATTTTAATCGTCACTGTTCGAGCTTCTCGGGACGAGGTTTCAGATTTCGACCGCGGCTCATCCGGAAGCGTATACCTATAGATAAACAGAGAGTGTAAAATCGTGTTCTCAAAGACCTTCTTTGACATTAGACTAATTCCATCAAGAACTGGAATACATTCTTATCACTTAAAGAGTTCGTACTCAACAATGCTGTACATGCGTCAACCGGGTTGACGCCTTTTTTTTTGCGAATCCGGCTCGACACCTTTGCGTTCCTACTATTGTGTTGCCGTGGGGCGACCCACGGCACCTCTTGGCTCCACTATGAGTGGGGTTAAAAGTGATAAAAACGATCGAGTTAAGCGCACGTTACTTTGAGCACAACTTTAGTCAACTGATCCAAGTCGAAGTCTTCTGCCTTGATGCCACGTGGCGTGGCATCTCCGTTGTCTCGATGGACCGCGCAAACACTGATTGCCCCGTATTAGGGTAGGTGCGACCAATTATCGACATAACTGTGGCGGAGTTTACCCTTCGGCGTCAAAGCATCACCCGGTTTTTACGTGATGCCCTTCAGTCTGCAGGTGATGGAAAGGAAGGGAATGCGTGCAAAGATGGCAGGAAAAACATGAGAAAGTCCTAGAAAAGGTGATCGTGTATTTCTGTCTATTAAGGTCAAATGGAATCAGCATTTATAGCAACCTAGGCGCGAGCAAACTAGCGCCACGATTCATCGGACTATTCAAGATTCTTAACGCAATTGGCAAAGCCTACATGCTAAACATCTTATCTTCGATGCGACCTCACTCAACGTTCTGCGTCGGGCGGCTAGATGAATAGCTCCCGGCTACTTACCACGGGCTAAATTCGAAACTGTAGTCAGGGGATCGTAGATCGACCTCTTTCTCCGTCTTTCTCGTTGCGCCAATGACATTGGACGTGACTGCATCCCCGTCTGCAAATGATCGAGAACCTGGCGACCATGTTTCTCATCGGTTCAAGCAGTTTGCGATTCGAATGCCGGGTATCACTCGCGGTCTTTTCCGCCTGCGCATTACGCTCAAGAGCAGCCTCAGCTTCCAGCTGAGCGTCGACGGACTTTTCAAAAAGTATCATCAATACAGTTCTGGACAAACAGGACCTTATCCTTAACATCAAAAGGGTTAGATACCGCTTGTGGAAGCGGAAGGATAGACTCGCTGGATCGCAGATCATCTTGTGTGTCATAAGGACCCTCTCCGCGAAGTGACACCGTTGACTCATGAGACACACGCGGTTCCAACTGTGCGTAAGTATCGTATACGCTGGTTTGGATCCCCACTCAACCAGGATACGTGGAAGCCGCGTTCATCATTTCTTAGCGGCTTATCAGACGTTGCTAGGGAATGTGGACCCGTGGAGTCGGAATTCATCGATGCAGTTGCAGACGTAAATTTTCTCGTGGTGAAATGAGAACGGTAAGGCGACCCAAGGCGTCGGGAACAGGCACTATGCCATGATTCACGGCGCTGAGAATGAAAACGATGGTGATAACGAGAACGTTGGGTGAACGTGCGTCACCACGACCACGAGAACAGGACCTCAACGTGAAGAGCGCAACAGAATGAGAAGACGAACTTGTTGCTTTTCTGCAATGAGCATTCGGCGGGGATTGAGCCCGCTGCCGAGAATGGTGACACTAGCGAAGCGCACCGTGAGTAAACCCAGCCTTCATGAACCAAACTTCGCAGGCAAATTCATCCAGACTCTTTCCGAGTAATTCGCGGAAACGCCGAAAACAGACCTGCATTGTTACAAGTGAGTCTAGAACGTGAGATCCGGAAAGGTCGTACAGCACCCAAAAAATGAGTTGTTGGTCCATCACGTGGATGGTTGCACTCCCGCTGATGGTGCTGGGGAGTGCTGCAGAATTGGTGATCGTGTGCTCCGTCATCGTGTTCTTCGGTCGTGAGTATCGGAGTCTCGTCATTCTGACACTCAATATTGGTGAGTGCAGTATTGAGGAGGGGTGATATCATGGATCACATTACAGGATTTACACAAACAAATTAGACAGTTACATTTGAAGGCAGATGGTGTGCCCGAATAGCGGGCACAGCGTAGCAATTTATTAGTGGTTCATTAGTTGGAGGCCCAAAAGACGCAATATAGACCAATTACAAATTGTCTGAAATAAGTGGTGCACGAAAGGCAGAAACACGGTCGTACTTGTTACAATCAAAAATTTTGTAATTAGCAAGAATTGAAACAAAATTAGAATACGAGTTAAACTTACATGATTCAAAAGGCATGGGCTTAAAACTTTACCAAGCGTTTTCGTGTAAGCTATTGACGGGACATTCTAGCCCCGTGACATAGGTCGTATCCTCTATTTTGCATGAGAACCAAGTATTACACCGAATTTGTCATCCAAATTTATATAAAGTAAAGTAGTATTTATAATAAACATATTCTAGCATGAATAGCAAATTCCCACAAAGCGCTTCAACACAATCACGGATTCTTCTGTCTCAAGAAAACACCCTCCTTGTTAGATGAGTGTCGCGCCTAACTAGCTTATTTCTAATAACACTTATCGACCGGATCGCGTAACATTTGTTTATGGAACACAGTCGACTAGATCCGATGACGACATATACTTTGTAACTTCGACAATCGAGGTGATTTACGGAAACCTCATTGGTAGGAGCAAAAACAAAATTGAATGTGTGTTAAGAGCGACTTCCGTCATGAGGCCTACATGGTCACTTGGTGGTGCAGAATTAGAAGGTTGATCACCCCGAAGATCTTGATCGTTTATGACTGTTCGGTAAGCTGCGAGGTCATTGTTGCAATGTAGTAATTACTTCCCTTTGTCGCTTGTCGGCGGGAGGACGGTTATTACGAACAGTGATTTATGGAACTAGACATGGGAAACTACACCCGCATGCTTAGTGTCCCGTTTTTGACATTTAATGGAATGCAACGATTCCTTATAGCTACAAGAGCGAGACTTTCTGCTCTTTGCAAATAAGATGTCCATGTAAGCGAGTACTCTACTTTTGTAACGCCTCGGTGTACGATAGAACCCTAACCTTGCGCGAGACTTTTCTAGATTGAAGTTTTGTCCTCCAGTCTTACTTCTGAAGTTTTCCAGACTATCCAGTGAGAGGCGAATACAAAAACCTTGACGAGACCATTATGAAGACCTGGTCAGCAAACACCGTAACAATCGTATGTTTATTGACCTGCTTGGTCGTCCAGCTCGAGAGGTGACATCTGTGCTTGACGAAGGATTGAACAGCGCGTTCGCACTGCCTAACTTTGAGAAGCTCTGATGATGCCCTACAGTAAGCTCACGGTAGATCAAATGTTTGGCTGAGACAAGTCCAAATGACCTCGTACGACCCTTCTTCAAATGTATCATAAAGTTTAATTCCTAAGGCCCGTCTTAACATCTCCTGTAAGTTCGATAGGGCAAATGCAACATGCATTTGTCATCGATGATGCGGCGGTTCTTTATGGCGGCACCGAGCTAGACGACCGTCTCAATAGGGAGGATTCCTAGGCTTACTGTTTTCTTGGATGTCAATCTTCAAACTTTTAGGCTGACACGTGCATGACGACCCGAAAATAAAGGCTTGGACCTGTTGTTGTGTCAGCATTTCTGCGTGGGGTGAAAGCTATTCTATTCAACATATCATGGTCATGTTGTAAAAAGTGTTTGTGATCGTTGGAGAGGCTGCAAAGTGCAATCAGGTGTAGCGGGGTGCACGACGCTTGTACTTACACAGCAAATGAAACTGGTGTTGTATTGCAAGCTGGTTCTTCGAGACCAAATCTACACGTGCGCGTAGAGGAAGGTTTGTCTGAGAAAAAGCGTACTTTACCAGGATAAAAAAAAAACGCATATAGTATTTTGCAACCTTCTGTCAAAACATCCGTATTGTTTTTCTTGTGAGTATGTCTGAATACGAGTTACTATTGCAACAATCTCCCAAACACTCATTGCACACGGTTGGTATCATGTCTTATCTTAGTACGATAGAAATTTTTGTCAACGTGTTATCCTCATTCACCTTGCGGAAATATCGTATACCGAAACCCCCCCCGCTAATGCGCTGTTGCTTCGTGGACTGGGCAAGTTCGATTGGAATCGTAATATTACATTTGTGCTAAACCAACAACTTTTAGCCGCGAGTGTAACGGGGTGAATCGTTACATAACAATTTATAAGAAATTGTTAATAGAATATAACTGTAAGAGTTATATTCTCAGAATTTTGTCATAAGGACAAATATTCTGTAGCACTTACGAGTAGTTCCTAATTGGTTGATATAGGCCATTATATCAACCAACGAAGACGCGCCACGACAGACGCACGCAATGAGTGGTGAGCAGATAGTTGATATGCACATTTGTATTCAGACATAGCTGGATGAGGATAAATAGTGATTTATTGCAGACATTAACTATACTAAATACAGTTCTACTTTTTACTTTAACCAAGTACTCGCTTCTCCTTACCGTCTTCCTCTGCACGTACGAGTGTACGTGAAGTTACGAGGCACCGCCTTATTCTGTCATCAGAATAAGTAGCTTGTACTGTCACCAGCACAAGCTTCAGGGTGCCCCGTTACACCTGGTAGCACTTCGTAGTCCGTCCAAGGACCGCGTTCACATCCAACATGAATATGTTGGATGATGAAGATGACCAAAGCTTTCACGCTACGCGTGACGGCTACTCCCATTTGAGCGATGTCGAATGGGATGCGGTTAGATGAATGGGTTCGACCATGGGCATCCATGCTGTTAGCGTCATGCTAGAGGCTCTCAATAGAGATGCCCAACATGCTACTATCGCCAAGTTCATTCAAAATGAACTTGACGCAGAACGCGAGAAAGTAGCCTTGCTTCACCAACAAGGTTCTCAACAAGCAGAGTTGTTGAGAGAACAGGGTGCTCAACAGTTTGAACTGTTGAGACATCAGCAGGCTGCTGCTGGTGGGTCGACGCGAATGCATCGACCCGAAACCTTGAAGATTGACATCTCCAAGTATAGGGGAGTCCAAGAGGACTCCCTCTTGAGATGGTTCGTCGAATTGGATGACGCCATAAGGGCGCGTCGCATCGACGACGGGGATATGCAAGTTGCATTTGCCCAATCAAATCTGGCAGGACGTGCCAAGACTTGGGCACTGGGGCTCAAGTTGCACGACCCATATGCGTTTGGGTCGTTGGAAGTCTTCAAGTCGCGGCTCAGACAAACGTTTGAACCGCCTAGAGCTGAGTTCAGAGCTCGAACCGAACTCTTGAAGCTCAAGCAGGGTAAGCGTGATGTACACGCTTACGCTCAACATATACGACATCTCACGAGTTGTATAAGTTCCAATCCGGTGGATGAACACACGTTGGTTTCGGTGTTCATGCAGGGTCTTGCGGATGGTCCCGTCAAGACTCACCTGTTCCGGCTTGAACTAGATTCACTAGAACAAGCCATTTCCATTGCGGAGCAGGAAGACTTCAGTCTGAGACAGGCTCGCGCCAGCTCGACATCATATCGTCAACCGAGACGATATGACAACGGAGGTCCAGAGCCGATGGAACTATGTTATGTAGAGAGCGAGAAGGCTCGCTCTACAGGCTCAAGAAGTTGCAGAGATGCAACAGATGTCAAAAGACACGACACTACGCTTGCGAGTGTAGTGCTCCTCGTCCAGTGTCTCGCGACACTGGGCGTAGTGACCGTCCACCCATGAGAAAGGGGCAGGGACGAGGGTCCGCAGTTGGTGCAAAGACGCAACAACGGGATGGACCGTCAAAAAACGGACAGGATCAGTAGGTGCGGAGCACCCTACTGGTCTAGCAACGTCAAGAGAATTTGTAGGCCTCTTGATGAAGGTTGCTCCCAACACACAAACGTTGTGCATTGCTGCTCTAGGTAATGAGATCTCACTCATTACCTTGAAACTCGAAGTGACGAATAAGTTGTCCCTTCGAGCTCAAGTCGATTGTGGGGCGTCCAACAACTTTGTGCGACGCCAATCGCTAGAAGATGGTCACTTTAAATTCAGTGAATGTGACACACATCCTACGAGGATGACGGTACGTCTTGCGACAGGCGCATCCGTAACCGTCATGAAGCGTATAGTGAAGATCCACTATACGCTAGAAGATACCCAATATGACGATGACTTTATCGTATAGGATTTGGATGACAAATTTGATGTCATCCTTGGAATACCGTGGCTCAGAAGGTACGAACCACGGGTAAACTGGCAACATCGGACAGTAACGATGCCTGCCGCTTGTTCATCAGATGGCCATCTGATGAACGTTTGGAGCGTCCACAAGCGTGTGGATGTACTACGAGTGAGTGCGATGGCCTCACTTGTGGTACGGTCGTTAGTACGACTGCACAAAACCTTAGTGTACCAAACGGTTACACTTCGGAGCAAAGTTCCGGCGGCTGTGAGGAAACACAGGCTGGGCCGAAGGTCCACCACTCGAATAATGTCGGGTGGACTGGGACAAAGATGTATCCCTAGCGGGGAACATCTAGAAGAGAAACAATCGATCGCTCAGGTTAAGCGAAACGATAATCCTAGATCGACTGGAGATTCTTTCGTAGAGGATCTCGCTGTGGTTGCGCAACCCCAGCTAGAGGAAGTAAAGGGAATAAGTCCCAAGATTACAAATACGGCGGAAATAAGTTCCCCGAAACCCGAGGGAATAAGTCCCCGGGAAGCCGAAGGAATAAGTCCTTCGAAGCCTGAGGGAATAAGTCCCCAGGAAATGACAGAGACATTGAATGTCATAGTCAATAACGGATCAAGTGTAGGCGCTTATACACTTGATCTGATTGCGCCTCCGAAGTTGACTTCGGAGATCACTCAGTTGCCAACGCTCGAACATAAAAGGTTCTTGCGTGATCTGCGTAGTGGCAAAGTCAAGCAGATCTGCGTACTCGTCGCTGACGACGAGTGTGTAACCGACATAAGGTCAGCAACAGTGTTCACTGAGAACGAGAGAGTTCTCAGTAGTTCATCTATGGACGAGAGTGTCCTAGATGAAAAGACACGAGTTGAGCGATATGACTCCCAATCGTGGGAATCGCTCAAGACAAATCCTCTCTATGAAGATTTGGTTGAATTCAAGGATGTATTCCCTGAAACTGTTCCGTGCGAATTACCGAAGGATGAAGGTATTCGACACGAGGTCGAGCTTAAACCAGGCTCGAAGTACTGTGTCATGAAGCAGTGGCCACTGCCTCGTGAACAAGTACTTGCGATCGACAAGTTCTTTGCCGATCGTTTAGCTGCGGGCCATGTGAGGGAATCAACTTCCCCACATAGCTCTCCGACCTTCTGTGTGCGAAAAGCAACAGGGGGGTGGCGGATAGTGCACGCGTTCAACAAATTGAACGCTGCAACGGTACCGGCTCAGACGCCGATACCGAGGAAGGACGTAATCATTGATGGTATGTCAAAGAGCACCATCTTTTAGTCCATGGATTTGATGGATGGCTTCTATCAAATCCTCATGCGAGAACGGGATATACCCTATACCGCAGTTAGCACGCCTAGCGGCATGCTCTGGGAATGGCTAGTAATGCCACAAGGGCTTAGTAATGCCCCTGCCACGTTCAACAGATGTGTATCACATCTGTTGAGACCAGTACGAGAATTCGCGCCGAGTTATTTCGATGACGTATTCATCCATAGTCGAGCTATGGATGGAAAGTCGGACGTTGAGGTTCACAGGTACCACGTCCGACAGGTTCTTACAATCATGCGAAAGCATCAATTGTATGCAAACCTCAAGAAGTGTATATTTGCAGCAAGCGAAATACCACTTCTTGGGTGCATCGTTGGTAAGAACGGCGTACGTCCTGATCCCGAAAAGATCAAGGTGATCACCGACTGGCCTGTGCCGGTTGATGTCAAAGGTCTTCGAAAATTCCTTGGGCTAGTGGCGTATTTGCATTAGTATTCACGCAATTACGCCGAGATGACTGTGCACCTCTCTCGTTTGTTAAAAGAACGAGAGGTGGTTATGGAACGCTGAATGTCAGCGCTCCTTTGATGGTATCAAGCAGAGCTTGATACAATCCCCAGTCCTAGCAATAGCCGATCAGGACAGGCCATTTCATGTGGTCTGTGATGCCAGCGATTTCGCAATCGGCTGTGCATTAATGCAGTACGATCTTGAAGGCGTTGAACACGTCGTATGCTATCAGTCGCGTCAGCTGCAACAAGCTGAGCGGAACTATCCAGTGCATGACAAGGAACTCCTTGCCATGAAGTATGCACTCGCGATATTCAGAGTCTATCTATTAGGAGATAGACCCTTCATTGTTTACACTGACCATGCGTCATTATACACGGCAGTGAACAGCCCGCACCTTTCACAACGAATGGCACGGTGGTTGTCATTCTTTGCAGAATACAACTTTACGGTCGAGTACAAACCAGGACGACTTAATGTCGTCGCTGATGCACTCTCACGTCGTCCCGACTTTGAAACAGTCGCGCAACCCAACAGTGAGACAGTCACTGTTGCGGTTATGACGTCCTCAGTCCCATCTACAACGTTGTATGATGATGTGAGGCGGGCATACGCCCAAGATGGTGAGATAGTGAAGTTGTTGACACATCTCTCCCAACCATCCCGAGAATCGCTGAAACGATTGTCGCCTGCGTATCGATCTGCATCAGATCGATACACTACTCGTAACGGTTTACTGTATTATACAGCCGTTTCTGGTGACACACCACGTGTTGTCATTCCAGATGATACTGATCTGCGTTTGCGGATCATGTTCGAGTATCACGATGCTCCTATAGGAGGACATCGTGGCCGAGAGAAAACATATCTCACGGTAAGTCGAGACTTTTACTGGCCCCGCCAGTATCAGTTTGTGCGAAAGTATGTTCGCGCATGCGAAGTCTGCCAACGAGTGAAGTCAAGTCCTTCACTGCGTGCACCTTTACAGCCTCTACCGGTTCCGGCTGAGTGCTGGGAATCCATCTCAATGGATTTCGTCTTCGGGTTACCCAAAGACGCACGCGGGAATACGGATATTCTCGTATTTGTTGACAGATTCAGCAAAATGGTACACCTTGTGGCTGTACCAGAGACAATCACGGCAAGTGGCTGTGCTTGTGTCTTTATCGACACCATCTTCCGACTTCATAGGTTGCCCCGTGAACTCGTATCAGACAGAGATCCACGATTCACTGCTGATTTCTGGCGTTCCGTGTTCAAATCACTCGGAACGCGCTTGAAGATGTCGACATCTGATCATCCAGAGTGAGATGGTCAGACGGAACGGGCCAATCGTGTCCTTGAAGAGATACTTCGAGGATACGTACACTCCTTTAAGAGTTGGAGTGAGTTTTTGCCAATGGTAGAGTTTGCCATCAACAACTCGGTGCATGCGTCCACGACACATACACCGTTTTACGTGAATGGCTTACGCCATCCGCGTGTACCCACCTTACTAGAGTGTAGCTCTGGTTTAAGGGGGGGGGAGGGACTCGCGCGAGCAAAAACCGATTTGGTTCACGCTCATCACGCTCTGACGAAGAAGTCATTGCGTTTGATGCCGATATCGATAACATCGATATCGAAGAAGATGATGCCAGTGAGAGTGCGGAAGCCCTCACTGAAGAAGATAATGCCAGTGAGAGTGCGGAAGCCCTCACTGAAGAAGATGATCCCAGTGAGAGTGCGGAAGCCCTCACTGAAGAAAAGGTTGATTTTGCTGCAGTGCGCTCACAGCGCACTGAAGCTAACGAGTCATCAGATGAGTTCATACTGGCTCGTGAAACGGTAGTCCGTTTTGTGCAAGACTCCATCGCCGAAGCGGTGGATAAGCAAAAGCAAAACGCTGACAAGAATGGAAGGGCAAACACCCTTTTATTTAACAAAGGTGACTTAGTCCTACTGTCTACGGTTAATCTACCAGAGTATGTAGTGACTAACTTGGGTTGAAGTAAACTACTACCCAAGTACATCGGCCCATTTCGTGTATTGCACCGCCTAGGCAATGCATACACGATCGAGTTACTACGTAAGATGCGAACGCATCCCACGTTTTACGTTGGTCGGCTTAAGCCGTACCATCAGTACGCTGCTTCTTCCGATGAAGAACGCCCTTGCGCTCAAGCATCTCGCAGAGAGCCTTGTGCTCCCGATGGTGGGCATCAACAAGGGTCTGAAGAGCAGCTATCTCATCCCGAGACCGATCAACAATCCCACGAGCTACCCTTAGCTCGTCACGAAGAGATGTCAGAGATCTCTCGTTCTCAAGCTGAGCAAAGGCAAACTCAGCTCGATGCTTCGAGGCAGTGTCCGCCATTTGGAGACGCCTATTCCGCTCATGTTCGAGATCGTCGCGTAACGCAAGAGTTACGCGATCAAAGAAGCTCTCGGGAACACACCGATCCACATGATCGTGTGGAGAGCGTCTTTCCTCCTCCTCCACCTCCATTAGAGGACTATCGCGGTGGCCAGCGCTATCTAGTTGAGCAGCTGTTGAACCACCGCGACGTGAACGGACGTCGGACGAGTTATCTCGTCCGGTGGCGCGGATATCCCCCGTCCTGGGATACTTGGGAGCCCCGCTCCCAACTGATGATCAACGTACTGGGTCTGGTTGAGCAGCACGACGCGGCACATCCTGTGCCACAGAAGGACCGCCGGAGAAAGTCTTCCCGGCACGGTCGTAAAGGGATTTCAGGTTGTCAATCCCTTCGTACATCTCAGTAGAGATACGTACGCGCCACCACGGGCTGGTAAGGAGGTAAGCCTCCATAGGTGCTCGTGCAGAGTTGTTCACACAACATGGGCACGAGTCTCTCCATGAGAGGCAGGGTAATCCCTTCCCCCTTGACAGACGATGCAGCTTGTAGCGTGCACCTGTCGGGGTTCGCTTTTCAAACTTATCACGAGCTTTGATAAGTTTGTCGTTCCAAGCGTCACGACCTACATCCTCAAGGTTATGGATGTAGGCGTTCCACGATTGAAGTAGTGAGGGACCATCACGCTTGTGATTCCCACTGTGTACCATCGATGTCTAAAGAAAGCATCGATGAAGAATTCATTCTCAGCGCGATAGTTTATCGCGCTGGGTCAAGGTGATGGATCCTTGACGAATCGAACAACCGTGTTCGATAACGATCACTCGTCGTCGCCGACAAGTGATCCATGACAGATTTTGGAGGCATCCATGCCTTCTTCTCAGGAGCGAGACGCAAGACATTGCGGTCCCGCTCTTCCTGTGACGTGCCGACAGAAGTACTGGCACCTCGATGTGTAGTGATGTCCATAGGAGAACCGACACCACTATTAGCGCCCGAGTCTCGCGACCTCGAGCGCCTTCGCTTCGGCGATGGTTCATCTGATTCGTCAGATGAACCAAAGATGCTACGACGCGCAGCATCATCCATGCCACGCTTGGCAGGCGGCTTAGATTCAATCGCCGTCGATACGGATCCGTCTTCCGTATCAGGAGAGTACGAGACACCAAGCTCGTACCCCTGTGAAGACATGAGTGTCTTCATGACCAGCGCCTGCATCACCAAGTGACACAGGCTGCGTCGATTCAGCAACCGACGAGACATCAGTTGCTGTAGTTTCTGCTTCGCTCTCGGCGGCCTTGCTCGCGCATCGCATGGGCTTGTTAACCATGCGATGAGATGTTGGAAAGTGGACTCGGACCAACAAGTGCAAACCCTGTCCCAAATGATTTGGGACGAGTATCCATTTAGTCAATCAGTCACTAAAGTGACTGATGGTTAAGGGGGGGGGTGATGTAACGGGGTGAATCGTTACATAACAATTTATAAGAAATTGTTAATAGAATGTAACTATAAGAGTTATATTCACAGAATTTTGTCATAAGGACAAATATTCTGTAGCACTTACGAGTAGTTCCTAATTGGTTGATATAGGCCATTATATCAACCAACGAAGACGCGCCACGACAGACGCACGCAATGAGTGGTGAGCAGATAGTTGATATGCACATTTGTATTTAGACACAGTTAGATGAGGATAAATAGTGATTTATCGCAGACATTAACTATACTAAATACAGTTCTACTTTTTACTTTAACCAAGTACTCGCTTCTTCTTACCGTCTTCCTCTGCACGTACGAGTGTACGTGAAGTTACGAGGCACCGCCTTATTCTGTCATCAGAATAAGTAGCTTGTACTGTCACCAGTACAAGCTTCAGGGTGTCCCGTTACAGCGGGGGTATGATACAACCGTAGGGCTAAGCTAACTCTCATCACATTGCCTTCTATCTCGCGACATGCAGATTTATCTTCCTGACACACTTATGACAGCGTCACTATTCAGTCTACAATCATTCCAATTCATTGTAGATCTAAAAACTTCTATCACAAGCAGTGGCGATTACTAATTATCATTGTGAACTATTAAACGCATCAACAAACCCCCTTTGTGGTCGGCACGGTCAACAAGGCAAGGTTCAAGTCCAGAAACGACGCGACCGTGTAGCGTACCGAGGAAACTGAAGAGAAATGGACGGTAAAGTCGACGTGGTGAAGAGAATGGTAAGGAGAAGCGGACGTCTTCAGACTGAGCTGCAAAAACTGGTGCTAATCTCATTGGGGTTTTGCTTGCGGTTCTTCTGGACGTTGCAGTAGTTCACACACCTGCCAAAGACATGGGTCACGCGTGCGGACTAAATCGTTGCGCCTCAACAATCAGGATCATTGTACCAAGATCGTATACTCACCGGCAAGCCTGACACGGTACGAGCGCAGCTTGCAGGACACTACCAGCACACACTCTCTTAACAACATAACATGGATTTGGTTTGTGACAATTATGGAATATCGTACGCTACTCAGGACAGTCCCATAAAGTGCCACCAGTAACTTGCGTCTCACAGGTGTACCGCACGAGCAAAATAGTGTCCGGGTTTAGACATCGGACTTGCCGGACTTCACGGGCGGAGTACCCGAGGCCGAATCAGGGCATGGGGTCTTCGGCAACTCTGATTCCTCAGACTTCTGGTCGACATTAGGCGGTTTGCCGCTGCCATCGGGGCACGGGGTCGTCGGTGAGTCCGATTCCTCAGACTTCTGATCGATCGTAGGCAGCTCCTCGCTGTCATCAGTAGATCCGGAAACGTTTGTTTCACTTCCCAAGGTAACACCACCCGTGATATCACGTTCCGATCCACCCGATACACCACCTCCAACACCACCTCGAACTCCTCCACTAGCACCAGCACCAACTCCGCCGACAGCACCTATGCCAGCCCCACCACCAACATTGCCTCGAGCACCGCCTGATAGACCGCCTCCAATGGCGCCACCAGCACCGCCAGCTGCACCGGCACCGATGCCGCCACCAACTCCAGCATTAACTCCACCCGCTGCTCCGCCACCGACTGAACCGCCAACGCCGCCTCCAACATGCCCGCCGATGCCGCCTCCGATGCCTCCAAGACCGCCTCGCACTCCTCCAGTAGCACCAACTCCGCCGACAGCACCGATACCAGCTCCACCACCAACATTGCCTCGAGCACCGCCTGATATACCGCCTCCAATGGCGCCACCAGCACCGCCAGCTGCACCGGCACCGATGCCGCCACCAACTCCAGCATTAACTCCGCCCGCTGCTCCGCCACCAACTGAACCGCCAACGCCGCCTCCAACATGCCCGCCGATGCCGCCTCCGATGCCTCCAATGCCTCCGAGACCGTCTCGCACTCCTCCACTAGCACCAGCACCGACTCCGCCGACAGCACCGATACCAGCTCCACCACCAACATTGCCTCGAGCACCGCCTGATAGACCGCCTCCGATGGCGCCACCAGCACCGCCAGCTGCACCGGCACCGATGCCGCCACCAACTCCAGCATTAACTCCGCCTGCTGCTCCGCCACCGACTGAACCTCCAACGCCGCCTCCAACATGCCCGCCGATGCCGCCTCCGATGCCTCCAATGCCTCCGAGACCGCCTCGCACTCCCCCACTAGCACCAGCACCAACTCCGCCGACAGCACCGATACCAGCTCCACCACCAACATTGCCTCGAGCACCGCCTGGTAGACCGCCTCCAATGGCGCCACCAGCACCGCCAGCTGCACCGACACCGATGCCGCCACCAACTCCAGCATTAACTCCGCCCGCTGCTCGACCACCGACTGAACCGCCAACGCCGCCTCCAACATGCCCGCCGATGCCGCCTCCGATGCCTCCAATGCCTCCGAGACCGCCTCGCACTCCCCCACTAGCACCAGCACCAACTCCGCCGACAGCACCGATGCCAGCTCCACCACCAACATTGCCTCGAGCACCACCTGATAGACCGCCTCCAATGGCGCCACCAGCACCGCCAGCTGCACCGACACCGATGCCGCCACCAACTCCAGCATTAACTCCGCCCGCTGCTCCGCCACCGACTGAACCGCCAACGCCGCCTCCAACATGCCCGCCGATGCCGCCTCCGATGCCTCCAATGCCTCCGAGACCGCCTCGCACTCCCCCAGTAGCACCAGCACCAACTCCGCCGACAGCACCGATACCAGCTCCACCACCAACATTGCCTCGAGCACCGCCTGATAGACCGCCTCCGATGGCGCCACCAACACCGCCAGCTGCACCGGCACCGATGCCGCCACCAACTCCAGCATTAACTCCGCCCGCTGCTCCGCCACCGACTGAACCGCCAACGCCGCCTCCAACATGCCCGCCGATGCCGCCTCCGATGCCTCCAATGCCTCCGAGACCGCCTCGCACTCCCCCACTAGCACCAGCACCAACTCCGCCGACAGCACCGATACCAGCTCCACCACCAACATTGCCTCGAGCACCGCCTGATAGACCGCCTCCAATGGCGCCACCAGCACCGCCAGCTGCACCGGCACCGATGCCGCCACCAACTCCAGCATTAACTCCGCCCGCTGCTCGACCACCGACTGAACCGCCAACGCCGCCTCCAACATGCCCGCCGATGCCGCCTCCGATGCCTCCAATGCCTCCAAGACCGCCTCGCACTCCCCCACTAGCACCAGCACCAACTCCGCCGACAGCACCGATACCAGCTCCACCACCAACATTGCTTCGAGCACCACCTGATAGACCGCCTCCGATGGCGCCACCAGCACCGCCAGCTGCACCGGCACCGATGCCGCCACCAACTCCAGCATTAACTCCACCCGCTGCTCCACCACCGACTGAACCGCCAACGCCGCCTCCAACATGCCCGCCGATGCCGCCTCCGATGCCTCCAATGCCTCCGAGACCGCCTCGCACTCCCCCACTAGCACCAGCACCAACTCCGCCGACAGCACCGATACCAGCTCCACCACCAACATTGCCTCGAGCACCACCTGATAGACCGCCTCCGATGGCGCCACCAGCACCGCCAGCTACAACAACACCACCTCCACGTACGATAGGACTGTTGTCTCCAGTAGCATCGTTCCGACCGCCCTGAGACGAGCTGAAACTGTGAGAACTGACCGACACGTCGCTATTCCTGCTGGTTGGAGTAGAGGATACAGGTAGGACGCCCGGTCGGTTGCTGTCCGGATTCGAGAGAGGTGCTGAACCCGCTCCGGAAGTGTTCGGTGCAGGTACAGACGTTGAAGCTCCAGCAGAAGCGCTTGGACTCGACGCAGGGGTCACCTTGTCTGGGCCCGTGGTCTTTAGGTCAGCGTCTTTATTCGAAAGACTGCTTTGTTGGGTCTGCTGGCTGTAGCTGCTATAGCTGCCAGCTTCTGCGAGCGACCCCATTGCAGCCGCGACGAGTACGAGGTGAGAGATTATCTTGGTAGGGTTCATGTTTTGGACAACAAGACTAGCAGTAGGATGCAGAAGAATGGAACTTGGACGGGATGGAGCGTAAACAACACTTGACTTTGCTGCTACTGCCGAGCGCAAAGAAAATTGGAAACTGGATGAGTACTAACCCAGGCCTTCTCCGATATTTTAGACCGCCAACGAAGACTGGTCATGCCAACTCGTCCGTCCGCATGTAGACACTGGTCATGCCACCTGTGCACATGTTGACTCGAGACATGCCAGCTGTGTGCCGTGGACACTTTCTCTACCTTCGGCATTACAGAAGCACTACTACCCTATTTCGACACGATTCAATCTTATGCCGCACGCTGTTCGAACATATCAGCTGCAAGCACAGGAGAAACACCGCATCGATCGTGCCAGAAGCGCAGCACAACGACTAGAGCAACCGCATGAGCTGAAACGCAACTCATCACGGCTGACGAACACTCTTCAGAGCGCAAGTGTTGACCATAAACACACATGGTACAGCAAAAGCTAGATAGACTTCACAGAGGCTTTCGCCGACGAGTAGGTCTTCGGGACATGGTAATCCTTGATTATGTTGCGGTCACACACGTGCCCTGGACTTGGATGAGCAAGCTACAACACACAGAGCCACCGGAATGGAACAAGGAAGGACGCGGGGCAGTTTTGACGCGCACCGGTGTACGAATGATCGGTGTCGATGCAGCAAATTTATTTTCGCGGGAGAGGTAACTCTTGAGCAGCACAGCGGGCTCGCGTCTGATTCAGGTGGTTGTTTTTTTGGAAACTATCAACAGACGCCAGAAATAGCTGAACACGAAAAAACGTTGGGGCACATATGGAGGCATTCTTGCGTGTGGACCTCTTCAGCATCTTATCCCATAGTGAGAAGGTGAGGTATATTCAGGTACGCGAACGACCCGCTGTATCCGGTATCTTATCTTATCCGATACAAGGTTACGAGACCATCGTCATTTGTGGTGATGCGAAAGAAATTGGATCGCAATGATTAGGCCGCTGAAACAGTTGGATACTGAGTCCTGGGACTGGAATCGTTTTGTGCTGAGTCCTGGTACTGCCATTCATGCGTCTAGCCAGCGATGCGGAAATTTATGCATCATGACACGACGCAGCTGGTACATTGTGACCGAAGGTTGGATCGACGACCGTATCTGGCGTCCATACATTCCTAGCTGAATACGTATGTTTTCCATCAGGCCGCACTAAAACGCACCGGTTCATTGTACTTGCTTCCTGTATGATCTGGTTTAGCTACGAGCGTGCGCACGTCGAGCACTACTCCTGAAGTTGAGGACACACGCGGGCTTCCCATATGATTTGACGATACACTTTTTGGTCAGTATTAGTCCATCACGTTAGGAGCTCGTGTTCGAACCAGAGATGGTGTCTGTTGTACATTAGAGTTTCTACCGTGAGACTTATCGGATACTGCTGCGTGATTAAGTCGTCGCTTAGCGGTTTTGGTGGTGCCTTTCCGTCGAAATAGCTAGAATTTGGCACTCCTGGCAAGATGTGTTGGGTGGCAGCTGGTCACGAGGTAGACGAGTCAGGTAACAACATTTACGAGTGGCGCAGTACAACTCCAGTCTATAAACTCGACTATCCGCGCTAGTACCCTCGCAGTTTTCACACGTTGTAGTGTAGGCACCCAATCTCTGCGCCGTACGCCGTAGTACTCGTCAAAGCTTGGTTGCCATACTGACACCTTGCTAAGGTTTGCGACTTCACCTGGACAAGTGGGCAGAATTGCCAACACCCCGGCCGTCCACGTGCAGCTGCCATGATCCCGTTGTTAATCGCCTGCAAACGATCTGGTAGCTCATCAGCTTATGTCTTAGCTTACGGCATATTAGCCTCTTTACTGTCTTGAAACTTGTTCTCTGGCCACACTTGCACACGCAGACAGTCGGACATTGTACACCCTGGTGGTGTGCGTCCTCAGATGCTTGTAACTGTGTGATTTTGTACGATTGCGCTCCGTGACTGGCCACGTTCTGACCGCTGTGTTTGTTCGTCGGTAGAGGTCTGGCTGCTTGCGTCTTGGTGTCAGTATAGGACTACCGGGTTATAAATGCGCTGCGGGATTTACGACATCTATGTTGCCCCGCCACCTTCCTGCTAGGAGGTTCACTGAGTGCAGCATAGACTGAGAAGTTTTGGTAGGGATACGAGGCGAGCACTAACTAGCTGCGCACAGGAGTCGTTATACGCGTAAGAAAGAACGATGTGTCGGGAGGTAAAATACTGATATCCCGATAGGACAATTGCTCACAACGTCTTGTTCAGACAGCGGGTGATGCAGAGCATCCACAATTCGGTCAAGTGTCAGTTTGTCTGGACGCCGGGCTGCCAAGCATTTATGACGTCTTCTAAAATCTTTGCTTGCGCGGTT